AGCTCTATTTCAGCTAAAAACCAGGACACAAGGTGATTGTCATGGTTTGTCAAATGGCTTTTGCAACAACACGTTGTGTCCCAAAGCTCATGTATTTTATTGCATTATCACTCTTCAGCTTTCTCTGGCAGCCCTCCCCTCTCCTAGCACCGACTGCATTGTCTGTCTGCAGAGTGGAGCCTGTGGAGCTGTCGTTGCTGATCACTGAGATGTCCCAGCTGCACATCAGTGTGCCTGCACTCATGCTGGGGTTTTTGGTTTTGGTTTTTGTTTGTTTGTTTCAGAGAAAATGTTGGCAGCCTATTTTGATTGCCCAGGAGGCCCAGAAAATCTCTATGTGAAAGAAGTGATGAAACCTCATCCAGAAGAAGGAGAAGTTCTTGTGAAGGTCTCTGCCAGCGCTCTGAATAGGGCTGATTTACTCCAGGTATGTGTGTGTTAAGCAGATTTATGCACCTGAAAACAACACCAATTTTTCAAGCCCCGATCTGAAGTCTTGACAAATCTGAAGAGTTAAAAGAGGTTGGGCCTGGTGAGCATTTGGATGGGAGATCTGACAGGGCTGAAAGAAGAGATGTCTGTTGATTCAGCAGATAAATGTTTTTATCTGGGTCACTGCAATGCTGGGGTGGCACGGAAAGGCAGCTGCCTTTCGAGAAAAGATGTAAAACCAAAGCTCTGGTCTTTCTAGATGCTTAGTTCATTTTCTGGGCATTTGAGATGAACATGAAGTGTTCCACTGGCTCAATTCCAGTGTGGGAAAATTCAGATTGTTAAGTCTTAGCTGCTTTAATGTGAGCTGAAATGTGAGCTCTGCAACTGGAGACCATAATACCTCCCCAGCATGGACTGGTCTGGACTAAGGGGATTGGCAACAAGTTGAATTTGCACACAGAATTTTAAGAATAAAACATACTTAGGAAACAAGAACTGTTGCCAGAGGACAGAAGTTCCTCAGATTACTGCAACATTTGCACAGTGCACAATCAGAATGAAATAAATAGGAATTTAGGTTGGAGGCAAGTGAGTAAAATATCACAGGTCATTGCGCTCATTGATGTGTGGCTTCTCCTTCCTTGCCCCCTCTTTTGTTTTAGAGGAGAGGGAAGTATCCTCCTCCCAAAGGAGCAAGTGATATTTTAGGCTTAGAAGCAGCTGGGAGCGTGGCTGGGCTTGGGCCTGGCTGCAGGAGTCAGTGGAAGATTGGTGATGCAGTGATGGCTCTGCTCTCCGGAGGTGGCCAGGCAGAATACGTGACAGTACCCGAAGGCTACCTGATGCCAGTTCCCAGCGAGATGACATTCATTCAGGCTGCAGCCATCCCCGAAGCCTGGTTAACAGCTTTTCAGCTGCTGCATTTTGTAGGTGAGAGGTGTATTTTCAAAACTATCCCACCAAAACAGCTCGTCTTCCTTTCTGTTATGAAATTCCTCTCCTTGTTGCCTCCATCTGAATGCTGTTTGCCTTTTCTCTGAGTCTTTTCTCTGTTGCTCCATTCACACGGGTCAGAATCTGGTATGCCAGGTCCTGATCCTGAAATCCTGACCAGATCTCCCCAGTCACAACTTAACTCTGCTGACTGCTTATTTACAAGGAAGGATGTGGAAAGATGGTCAGTTTTGGTCTGTATTTCTCAGCTTGAATGGCCATTTCCATTAAGACTAAACCCTGAAGTAACTTAGACGTTCTTCACACAGCTGGAAGCACATCCTACTTCTAAAGATTTTACTTTGCTGCAAACATGACTGTATCATGAAGTTTCTCACTAATTGCCTGTGGATCTACAGTAGACAACATCTGGTACCTTGTTTCACAGAGACATTAATTGTAGGTAAAATCCCCTCTGAGCTGATTGAAAACAGACACGAGTTCACTCTTCATTTTGAAAATATGCTTCAGAGGCACTAACAGTAGCACTTGCCAGGTTTTTTCTGAGTTGATAAATATCCTTCTTCTACCTTCTTCAGCAGTAGCATCTAAAAACTCCACTAAAGGACAGGAGTTACAAACAAGGAACTTTCCTCCATACCTGAAGTGCAGACTGATTTAGAGCACTGTTGCACCCTCAGGGTCTGTGGTCAATTAGGACCATGTCTCCAGGACTACTCACTTCCACTAGCAACCAGTGGAACATAAATTAATGAGTTGGGGCAATCAGCAGGTGGTAAAATGATCGGTTGAACTGGTCCTTAATGTCACCCAGCACTTCTGGCACTTCTCCGTTGTCGAGTGCCTGATTGCTCAGTACTAACATCTTCTGAGCGTGTTTTCTGTTGGTGGCAGTGGGCAGTCCTGGTGGAAGAAGGCTGACTGCACTCACCTAAGCAGCTTGGTCTTGGATGCCCAGAACTGGACATGGGCCAAGCTAAAATAATTCCACTGAAGTCAATAAAATGGAGTCCTGTCAGTACACTGTGATGGATTTCTTTCTTTTATGAAGGTATGAAGATGTAAACAATGCTCACTCAAGGGCATCTCCTTCAGCTTCCTCTTCAGTATTCATAGAATCATAGAATGGTTTGGGTGGGAAGGGCCCTTAAAGATCATCCAGTTCCACCCCCCCTGCCATCAGCAGGGACACCTTCCACTAGATCAGGTTGCTCCAAGCCTCATCCAGCCCGGCCTTAAACACTTCCAGGGAGGGGGCATCTACAACTTCCTTGGGCAACCTGTTCCAGTGTCTGACCACCCTCACAGCGAAGAACTTCTTCCTAATATCTCATCTAATCCTCCCCTCTTTCAGTTTAAACCCATTTCCCCTTGTTCTGTCATTAACTGCCCTTATGAAAAGTCCCTCCCCAGCTTTCTTGTAGCCCCTTCAGGTACTGGGAGGCCGCTATAAGATCTCCCTGGAGCCTTCTCTTCTCCAGGCTGAACAGCCCCAACTCTTTCAGCCTGTCTTCATAGGAGAGGTGCTCCAGCCCTCTGATCATCCTGGCGGCCTCCTCTGGACTTGTTCTAGCTGCTCCATTATCCACCTTGATCACCTTTTAATCCAGAGGTGATGCCAAAAGTGTAACCAGTTCCCTCACGTCCTCCTGCAGGTAAAGTACAGAAGGGCGAGCGAGTGTTGATCCACGCTGGAGCTAGCGGAGTTGGCATGGCAGCCATTCAGCTGGTGAGACTGGCAAAAGCCATTCCCATCGTGACAGCGGGGACTCAAGAGAAACTGACAGCAACAGCAAGTGCTGGAGCAGCTGTGGGGTTCAACTACAAGACTGAAGATTTTAGTGAAAAGGTCTTGGCCTTCACCCAAGGTAAGAACCTCTGCATGAAAGATGCTGTTGGAGTTGAGGAGGAGTGTGTACCTCCCAACGTACGCACATACGCTCAGTGTCAGCTGTCACCTCAGTCGGTGAAGGAGCAGGCAGTAGTGACCGTAGCACAACCCAACACCCTGGTCATCCCCAGAATGTGGGTTTTTTTAGTTTAATTGCACTCTTGTTTTCTGCATGGACTTGGTTTGTGTTCATTTGGGACATAAATATTGTGCCTGTGTCATTGTTGCCTCCACAAGGAACCGTGGGACCAAATCCTCCCACTTGTCTGTGTGTGTTTGAACACGGGGACAAAACTGAAGGGTCACAGAATCACGGAATGTCAGGGATTGGAAGGGACCTTGAAAGATCATCCAGTCCAACCCCCTGCCAGAGCAGGAACCTAAATGAGATCACACAGGAAGGCATCCAGGCGGGTCTTGAATGTCTCCAGAGAAGGAGACTCCACACCCTCCCTGGGCAGCCTGTTCCAGTGCTCTGTCACCCTCACTGTAAAGAAGTTTCTTCTCAAGTTTAAGCGGAACCTCCTGTGTTCCAGCTCACACCCATTGCCCCTTGTCCTGCCATCGGGCATCACTGAGAAGAGCCTGGCTCCATCCTCATGACATTCACCCTTAACGTATTTATAAACATTAATGAGGTCACCCCTCAGTCTCCTCTTCTCCAAGCTAAAGAGACCCAGCTCCCTCAGCCTTTCCTCATCAGGGAGATGCTCCACTCCCTTCATCATCTTGGTGGCTCTGTGCTGGACTCTCTCAAGCAGTTCCCTGTCCTTCTTGAACTGTGGGGCCCAGAACTGGACACAATATTCCAGATGTGGCCTCACCAGGGCAGAGTAGAGGGGGAGGAGAACCTCTCTCGACCTACTAACCACACCCCTTCTAATGCACCCCAGTTCTTGTAGTGTTAGAAGTTCTCTTTTCCTAAGCCCCTGGGATGGATTATGATGGAGTCTGCATCTATACGGGTATCTACAATGATTCTTTTTTTGTGTTGGCCTCTAGAATTCCTTAAAAACCATTGTGCCAATTCCTAATTTCAGTAGACAGATTTAAATAAGAATTGCAGGATTGATTCTGTGCCTATAAAGAACAAGGTTTTAGTTTTACCTGAAATTATCCTAATGCAGCTTGACTGCACTGCTGAAATCTTTTGTGTTTCTACTCGAGGTTCTGGAGTCGATATTATTTTAGACTGTGTTGGTGGCTCATACTGGGAGAAAAATCTCAACTGTCTGAGTACTGACGGCCGGTGGATTATTTATGGACTACTGAGTGGGGGTGAAGTACACGGAGATTTGCTTGCCAGGCTGCTTTCCAAACGAGGGAGCATCCATACGAGCCTGTTACGATCACGAAACAAGGAGGCAAGTAACGGCTATCAACACCATTTCATCTTGAAATCCATGATAGTTTTGAGAACTTCCTTTTGACACCAGTGTTAAAGCAGAATCTTAACACATGATTACCAAAAAAGCACCACCCTGAACTGTTACTGCATATGTTGGAAAAACATTGCAGAACTAAATTGTAATTTCCCTTTTCTGGTTTAATCAAATGCCTCCCAAGGACTGAATCAGAGGAACAACAGCCAGGGTTTCTTAACGTACTGCAGCAGTACCAGAATCTAAAGATTTGGCCTAAGAAAAAACAAAACTCAAGTGATCAGGCAACTTGATCAAGTTTTGGGGGTGGCAGGGAAAGGAAAAACCTCTATTAGGTCATTTTTCAAAGTAGAGACTGAGGCCATTAGGATGCTCAGAAGTTACCAAGGAAAAAAATCACTTTATGTGTGAAAATTATCAGATATTACAGTAAATCACAGTGCAGAGCCCCAGGAGAGATGCTGTCCACGGTTTAATACATAATATTCTCAATAACCGTATCAGTTTGAGTTTAAGTGGTTCTGCACTGAGCTTCTATCACTTGTTTTGGAGAATTTAATTCAATTAAAATGTAATAAATCTTACAAGTTTTCGTCTTGTTTGTAATTTACACCTGTGAGACGTTTACACGTCCATCTCGCTATGAAAGTGTCAGGAATGTCTCAAATGTCTCACAAAGTCTCTCACATCCTTGAGAACTGTGCACATTTTGTAAACTGTACTTGGTGAAACCTCTGTGAACGACATGACTGGAAATAACCTTCAAAACGTTTTCATGTTTTCCTCAGTATAAGGAACGGCTGGTGAAAGCCTTCACAGAAACCGTGCTGCCACACTTCTCAAGAGGAACCTCCCCTCATCTCCAACCCCTCGTTGACAGCGTTTACCCTCTGCACAAGATCGCAGAGGCACACAGGATCATGGAAGACAACAAGAACATTGGTAAAATTGTCATCGAAATGCCTGCTTCACTGTAAGGATGAAGGGCTGCTGCTGTAGCTGCTCCAGAGGCAGAATGCTTAGGGGTGTTTTGACAGGGAGAGAATCTGCCCTTTCTGCTTCCACATCTGGAATGATTTCTTGTGGGAGGATGCTGAAGGGGTAAAGCCAAACCTCGCAGGCTGCCGGTAATAAAAAGATGGAGGTTGCAGCGCTGGCGCTGTGTCTGGAACGCGTAAGGAAAACGCCGGAGAGCGCCGCTCCCTGCAGGAGAGAGCTGCCAGGCACCGACTGCCACCCCCGGCTCCCAGCTCCTTCACCGACCGCTCTCCAGAGCTCCCACCCCGCCCTCACCGCCCGCCTCCCCTCAC